ATATATATATCGAGTGTAGTGCTTCGTGTTCTATTTTCATCATCATTTTCTTTCCTCGAATCAGCGAACTAAACGGGTCCTAAGTTATTTGCCATTTTGTTAGTTGACAATCCACTTCTTCGTTCTTTATCTCCACCACCACAAGCATCCTCTGCTGACTTCTTCGCTGGTGGTAGCTTCATGCCCTGACGTAACTCTCAACTATCATTCTCTAGTGCTTAACATAACATAACATAACATAACATGAATTATTACTATTGGAATCCCCCCGATAATATCCACATTTGCATCATCATCATCTATTCCTTCATTCAATCCAATCTCAAATTTGTTTGTTGTTGTGTCCATCATTTATGCACTCTATCCGGCCTGCTGATGAAGCCTCGTTTTTCAAATTTGCAGGCGAAGGGATTCGAGCTCTAAATTTCAACACCGGAATTACCTGCTTAGCTAAACCAACAACCACGTTAGTGAGTTGCTTTTTTTTTATTATTATAAATGAAAGTGTCATTGAATGTGTAATTGTTAGGACTCCCTTTGTTCTAGACAAAAATAAACGTTTGAGCTAAGAGAATCAATAGGAATTCGGAAGAAATAACCAGACTGGCCTGGTTCCTTTGATTGCATGATGATCAAAATACGTACAGGGAAAGCAAAATACAAAACTAGAAATTAAAGATGGAGGTGAATTCGAGGACCCCTCCTAACCTCCACAGACTCAAGTCTTCTCTTGATTCTCGATGCCCTCCACTCTCTAGCCGTAGGCTATTTATTTCTCAATCCTCTAACTAACTCCCCTTCCCCCTATCTGACCCTTGCACACCTCCCCATAACCCATAACCGTATTCTAACGACGCCCCTTACCCTTGCCTTGATCCAGTGTTAACCAATTTCCCCTCCTGCCCCTGCTCCTTCTTACTCCTCGCATACACAAACCTGAGGGCTGGAGTGCTAACAGTAATAAGTCTTCCTAATCCTCTGTAATCGAGACTGATTGGCTTGCTTTTTCCTCTTCAGGAGTCAAGTTCAAAGCCATGCTATGATGCTTGTCTGGTCCGTATGCAGTATGCTTGTACCACAAAACACGTGCAGAACGCGTTCATCTTCTACTATTCTATAGTGCGCTAACAAAAGGAGCAAGACAGTGGACAGTGGACACAGCATGAAAAATCTTGAAAAGGAAACACTTTTAGGAATGAAATGAAATCCCCAACTTACCCTACATAATGACCAAAACCGTGACGAGGGATTTGTTGTAATCTGTAACCACTAAGCCATTGATAAGACCTTACTGGTAAAAGCTTCAACAAGAATATTCTTATTCATTGCACTTGCGGAAATTCATGAAATGAACATGCTCGAAATAGCATAAACGAGAGGAGAAAAAAGAAGAGGAAGGTATCAAATTAGATTGACATTTATTTAGGTTTGATGGGATGAATTAATCAGAGTACGGTGGATCATTTATATTGACTATATGAGTGTCAAGAGTACGTGGATTTTCTCATCAACCAAACAAACACCAATTGGATTGAACACAAAAATGTCTACATTACAACAACAGATACTAATATTAACATTAAAAAGAGGATTAATCAGAGTACGGTGGATCATTTATATTGACTATATGAGTGTCAAGAGTACGTGGATTTTCTCATCAACCAAACAAACACCAATTGGATTGAACACAAAAATGTCTACATTACAACAACAGATACTAATATTAACATTA